GCTGCAGTATGGGGAGAAAGCAGACTGGCTGGTGCATAGCTATAGGAACCTACATGACTGTAAGTCTCCACTGGTCAGGCATGGTCCACTGGCACAGAAGATATGGCACAGGCCCCCAGAGCACTCAAGACTGCCCCGCAAGCAGGCATGGCCAGGCTGGGGGCCCCAGAAGAGGTCAGCAGACCAAGGGGTGCTCAGGTCAGACCAGCACCGTCTGCTGGGCATAATTAGGTATAGCAATCAAGTCGACCCAGAGATCAGGTCAGACAGTTCCTCTAGGGCCAATGTAAAGCCTATGGGAGCAAGTAAAGCCTAGCTGTCTCTGGCTATGCTCTGCTATAGATTCTTTGCAACAAACACTCTGGGTTCCACATCGGCTAGCTTGCTGCTTCTACCACTTCTCTAAGCAGTGTTCCCTGCCACCCCAAGTGTCCATGGTGTTTGAGGGGTCTCCTTCTGTTGGGGTTCCAGAGGCCTGTGGTGAGAGTGAGTTGCTTCTTGCCAGTTCAACTCGGCTGTTCCTCCAGAGCTGTTGTGATCTAAAAATGAGCCCTGGGCCGGGTGCGGTGGCTCACCCCTGTAATCCCAGCACTTTGGGAGGCCAAGGTGGGCGGATCATGAGATCAAGACCATCCTGGCCAACATGGTGAAACCCCGTCTCTACTAAAAATACAAAAAAAAAAAAAAAAAAGCTGGACATGGTGGTGCACGCCTGTAGTCCCAGCTACTCGGGAGGCTGAGACAGAAGAATTGCTTAAACCCAGGAGGCGGAGGTTGCAGTGAGCTGAGCTCGCGCCACTGCATTCCAGCCTGGCCACAGAGCAAGACTCCGTCTCAAAAAAAAAAAAAAAAAGGAGCCCTGGTGCATGGTAGCCCCAGGTAGTGTTCCCAGCTTTCTCCCACTTCAGCCCAGCTTCTGTGTCTTCCTTCTGTCCACTCTCGGCGCCCTCCCTCTGAAGATCTCTCAAAAAAATTGTAAAGGCGTCACTCACATAGTTTATAAACAAGTAAAATTCGAATATGCATTTGTGTTTTACTTTTATCTAATTCTCTAAACAGGTAAACAAAATACCTGTCCTTCCGTGTCAGAACTACACTTGCTTATCAATGACATTACTGACATCTTTGCTGAATCAGATCAGTTATTTCTCTGTAGTCTGATTTTGTCAGATCATGGTTGAATTGCAACTGTAGGCTGGCTACAGATACAAAAGTTTGGCAAATTTAATGAAAGCTTTCAGTGAAAATCAATTGGCTACTTCCTATTTATAATAAATACTATCAAATATTTTTGATTATTTGTCTCCCACTCCTGAGCTCAAGTGATCACCCACCTTGGCCTCCTAAAGTGCTGGGTTTACAGGTGTGAGCCACTGTGCCCAGCCATGGATGTATTATTATTACTTGTAAATTGCTACATAGCCCTTGTATCAGTAAAATTTGTAATTAATGTATGTGTGTGTGTATGCATATTTTTCCCCCTAGGGAAGTGGTTGTTAATCATTTACCAGCACACCACTCAAAGGGGCTCACCTGACTAAAAATTAGTCACAAAGAGACACACCTCTGCCAGAACCATGGTGCCATAGAGGAAACATGGAGAGAAATATATTGGCCTTTTTCTCTAACAGTGGAAAAATCTGTTCCAGAGTCAGAAAGCAGGAGAGTCTTATTCAGGGATGGATTCCTGGGGCCACTGACCAGGGCAGAGAAGGAATCTTAGAGTAATACTAGGGCAAGAGAATTAAAGGATATCTGGCAAATAATCTACAGGGTGGTCTTTAAGAGAAAAAAGAGTCCAGTGATTTCCAGGTTTCCAGGTTGGAATGTGGGGCCATTTACTGAGATAGTACTTGAGGAAGTAATGATGGGTTTGGTGGAGAAGATACTGTACTGGATTGAACAGTGTCCTCCCCAAATTTGTATCTACCTGGAGTCTCTGAATATGACCTTATAGGGTCTTTGCAGATGTAAATATTTAAGATACTGTTATAGGGTACACTTTAAATCCCATATGACTGTTACCCTTATGAGAAAAGAAGACAGATGCACTGAGGCACATAGGGGAAAAGGCCGTGAGATGACAGAAACAGGTATTTGAGTGATGCAGCTACAAATGAAGCAATGCCAAGGATTGCTGGCATCCAACAGATGCTAGGAAGAGGCAAGGAATTTTTCTTATCTAGAGCAAGGAATTTTTCTTATTTGGAGGGCCCATGATCTTCTGGACACCTTGATTTTGGCCTTCTGGTTTTAGGACTGTGAGAAAATAAATTTTTTATTGTTTTAAGCCACCCACTTTGTGGTAATTTGTTACTGAAGCCCTAGGAAACTAATACTGAGAGTGAATTTAATTTTGGCCATGTTGAGTTTGTAGTGCTTGTGGAAAGTTCAGATGAAGATGACTGTATTGCTTGGGTATGGACTCTGGAATGTAGGAGAGAGGCCTCAGTTAGACACATGGTTTTGAGACTTATCAGTAGTACCTAAAAGGCATGAAAATTGATGTAATTTCTCATGGGGAGTATGCACAACTATGAAGAGAGAGCCAAAAATGAAATAGAGAAGGAGGCAGCAAAGGAATGAAAGGGAATGTGATGAGTAGCAAGATAAAAACTAAAGAAGAACAATTTCAAGGGTGAGGAAATAATGATATTGTATACCACAGATAGGTCAGATGAGAAGAGGACTAAAAAATACTCATTGCATTTTCACCAGTAAAGAAGTAAACCTGCCTGAGGGAGCTTAGCCTCTGATGAATCCCCAATAAGAGTTTCCTCCTTTTGAATTTTTTAGATATTATACTAGAGGATGTGAAGAATTTAGCTAGAACTTCTAGAGATATGTCCTTAAACTGTGTTGGTAGATATAAGTGTATAATATGTAAACTTGTTTACATAATTAGTAATATGTATATGTAATTTATTGTCTTATGCATTTTATGTAGATTTTATTAAGAATCTCAAATATGTATATTTAAATTGCCTTCATTCTTCCTCTATGTTGAATACTTTCCCATTCTGTTTTTCATCAGTTAAAACAATTTTGGTTTATTTGATTAAATTTTACATTCTATAACCCTTTTACTTTAGATTTTGTTTGTTTTAAATAACGATCAAATATAATGCATTTCCAGTATTTGGTGGTTAGTTTGGGGAAATATTTTCTCACAAAATTCAAATATTTTAAAATAATTGTTGTTAGCTATTGTCATGTAAACAAAATTTTCAAATAACTAAAAGTTAATTTCTTCTTTATATTTTATCTGTAAAAATATAATTTGTGGCTGGGCATAGTGGCTCACGCTTATAATCCTAGCACTTTGGGAGGCCAAGGCAGATGGATCACAAGGTCAGGAGATCAAGACTATCCTGGTCAACATGATGAAACCCTATCTCTATTAAAATACAAAAAATTAGCTGGCTATGGTGGCATGCACCTGCAGTCCCAGCTACTTGGGAGGCTGAGGCAGGGGAATCACTTGAACCTGGGAGGCAGAAGTTACAGTGAGCTGAGGTCACACCACTGCACTCAATCCTGGTGACAGAGCGAGACTCCGTCTCAAAATCACACACACACACACATACACACACACACACACACACACGTGTAATTTGCTTTTTAGTACCACCAACTTTGTTAACATAATACTACATCATTAAAAAAAACTTAGCATGTGTTATCTGTGGCTAAAGGTATGATTCTCTAGCTGGATGATGATTTATTTAATAAATTAGTCATATAAAATACAGTTTAATTTTTGTAAGCATAAAGCATAGAACAGAATTGTTTAAATGGAATTTTAATTTAATACATTTTGGTAGCATTGATATGAATGATAAATCATGTTTAAATTTCTTACCTCTAAGAGGTGAATAGCAAGATGTGCACATTTTCTTTAAGAGTTTTAATTTTACATGTTAATGTTTTTTGCAGTCTCAAGGTTTTGCCTATATGTTGTGTGACTTACTTAGAGATCTCCTGGAATGTGGTCCCATTACCTGAAAGGGTAGAGTCATTTGTTTCTACACTAAAATTATGAGTCTTAAAATTTTACTAAACTCAGAAAAATTCACAAATGGATGATTTTTGTGTGCTTATAATTGTGCAGTAGTTTCTGAGGTGGCGTCATCCTTCCCAAATTTTTAAATTTACATTTACAATGAGAAACTTGTAAGTACCTTTTATGTGAAATGATTTAAATATATGTAAATTATCAAAGTAGTATTAATTTCTACTACTTACTGTAAAAAGTAGATATCATCTTGGGTAACTCAATTCATAATAGACACTTGCAAATATTCTTTATGACTTGGGGTCCAAAATGGGTTAAATCTCACCACAGCACATCCTTCTCAGCCCTTTCTCTTCTCTTGTTTATATGCTTGCTTGGGTGCCTTAGCCCTTTAGTTAGTTTCTAGGGTTTTCACAAAGGTATTTTGGTCTAAATATTGCTATTATTTTTGTGTCTGTGTGAGAGAACAAGACTCTAGAGCTTCCTCGTTCTCCATCTTACTGACCTGTTTTTCCCATTCTATTTTAAAACCTAAGATTGATTTTTTTACATTGCATTTTGTGTTTAATCTTTTACTTCTTCACAGATTCTATAACATGTTGCTCGGACTGCACAATCACTCAATAAACATTGATAATATACAAAACAGATGCACTTTACAAAATTATAATGGAAAGTACTGTTTTCCCTATATTTCTTCTTTATATTAAAGATTTGTGGGTTTTTTTTTTTTAGTGTAATTTAAACCTCATTGATGAAATCTAGTGATGGAAGTAAATACAGCACTGATGTTTATTGCATTAGTATTAGTGTTATTTATGGCTTGAGGATGATGAAATATGGAGTAATATTCACATCAAGATTTTTAATAAGGAAAATGGTAGAATGTCGATGTGTAAGTAGTATAACTCTTTTAAAATAGTTTTTTTTTCTAGTCATTATCTAGTAATAAACAATGATTTATCTTTACCTTATGACTGTTTAGACTCCTCGTGAAGTGGCCCAGCAGGCCGTGGATGCAGATGTGCATGCTGTGGGCGTAAGCACCCTTGCTGCTGGTCATAAAACCCTAGTTCCCGAGCTCATCAAAGAACTTAACTCCCTTGGACGGCCAGATATTCTTGTTATGTGTGGAGGAGTAATACCACCTCAGGTATTTTTCATCTTTATTTTTCTAGTACTGTGATGGGAATTCTGAGTAATGATAGCTTACATGTGGTGCTAAAGATAAATTCGTTGTAGATTTAGAAACATATTATTTCTTGGTGATTTCACTAAATAAATTCTACAAGGTATAAAAGTAGACAGTGTTGTTTTGTATTCAAGTTATAATGCAATTTATTATGTATAATTTAACTTACACTTTACAAAGCTTCAGTGAGAGAACTACCTCCTTACAAACCAGTAAGCTATGCATCCATAACTCTACCTTCATTCTCGATAAACAGTTATGGAGAAGGAACAGATAAAAGTAATAAAACTCTTAAGTGGAGTAGAGAACAGTGGTAGTAAATACATGGTGGATATATCAAACCAGAGATATAGTGAGGACTCCTCACCATATATAAGCCAGAGATACAGTGAGGACTCCTTGTCCTTGGGGGGAACGACTCCTGTAGTTTGCTTGCTTCTAATTAGAAGGAGCTATCTTGTCCATTTCCTCCGAGATGTTCCCATCCCTAAATGTTGCCCTACCTCAGAGCTATATCATTTCCACAATCCTATAAAATCCTTTATTATTTAAGCTAATTTGATTAGGGCATGGCATTTCAGGAGCCAAATAATAATAACTCAGTTAATTTATTAATAAGGTGGGGAGACACCGTCCACATATGACATTCCTCATCAGTTAAAATATTTAAGATATAAATAGGTTCTGTTTCCCATCCAGTTTTCAATTATATCAAGGTTTTCTGTTTTACGGAGAATGGAAAAAATACCAAGTTAGAAGAACTGTTTATGAAGCTGCTATAAGTAAATGATTCATAGATGCTACAAAGGTCCCATCACTATAGCAAGAATCTATCAGTGAAGTGTAACCTTGTTTCCAGCTCTACAGTTTTTTCTTTCCTCCATTACAACTCAGAATATAGAGTAGTGCATTCATATACTACTTGTGAAAGGAGAAAATTCATATGAATGAGGTTGTGAGATTGGTAATAAAGTGGGGCTAGTGAACAAATATGTATTTATTTTCTTTCCAACAACACATTATTTAATGTGATATAATCAACACAAAATTCTTTTTGTTAACATACTTGCCTATTATTTTCATAAAATAAGTCATTATTTGAGAAAATAAAGGGTTGTTATTCTATCTATAGAACACTTTTATCAATGTTGCAGTTTTAGAGTCTGTGATACCTAGGCATGATATTAAAATGTGAGAACCAAAGTAATTAGCTAGTAGAAAACATTCGAATTGGAATTCATGTTGAGAAAAAAAACGTAGTCCTGTTATATAAGTGAGGTGACATTTTCAAGAATTATATTTCAAATAAGTTGTATTAACTCTCTGGATATTTAAATTACTAAGAACATCTTTAGGTGTTTGCCATATATGTTTTTCCCATGAGTTTAACGACTAAGGATAAGGACTATTTTCTGTTTTATACTTTTGTGTGAATATGAGTATCCCTAATTATATAATTACAGCAGTTAACACCCTTGTATTTTCTTTATTTTATTTTATTTTATTTTTTGTGAGATGGAGTTTCGCTCTTGTTACCCAGGCTGGAGTGCAATGGCGCGATCTCAGCTCACCGCAACCTCCGCCCCCTGGGTTCAGGCAATTCTCCTGCCTCAGCCTCCTGAGTAGCTGGGATTACAGACGTGCACCACCATGCCCAGCTAATTTTTTGTATTTTTAGTAGAGACGGGGTTTCACCATGTTGACCAGGATGGTCTCGATCTCTTGACCTTGTGATCCGCCTGCCTCGGCCTCCCAAAGTGCTGGGATTACAGACTTGAGACGCCGCGCCCGGCCACCCTTGTATTTCCTCACTATTTGTTTGCAGTGAATATGTAAAATGTTGCTATTATTTAATTAAAGGTCACTAAGTTTTAAATTAGAAGGCACTAATATATAGTGGCTAATCAGATACAGCTCCTGTCATGTGGAGCTTAACAGTTTCTGCAGTTTGATTAAATGAATAAATGTGGTCTGTCCTCACCAGTGTGTTACTACAATTAGGATCTTCTAACTCTGTTAGCACCAGTCATCTCCAAATTTTTTCAGCAAGTTGAGCAGACTCACGATGCCTGCTTCCATCACGAAGCAGGCATTGTGCTATCCCTGGCCTAGCTAAGTGGAAGAAATTCAAATATATTCTTTATTTGAAAATAGTTTCAAACTAACAGATAAGGTGCAAAAATTAAAATAGTACAAAGAATATCTGTATACTCTTTACTCAGATTCACTGACTACTATCATTTTACCCCCTCACAAAGGTACATTTTACAAGGCTTATGTAAGAAAGAGAAATAAGTCACATACTCTTTTTTCAGTTGCAACATCTTGCAGTTCTTTTCCAGTTGAATCCTTCATTCTAAATCCATAACTCAGATGTCAGAACAAATGGTACACAGGGTTTTTGGGAAGGAGAGAAGTATATGACATATTAATATGATCATCTTCAATTTGGAAATGATTATTATTACATGTTTCATCCAGTTCCCTTATGAGCTCTTAAACTCTATAGGATCTGCTCAAGAAAAATGACATGTTTTGTGCACTTTTATGTGTCAAGTACTGGGGAAACAAAGATGAATGGACATGATCTCTGCTCTCAGAATTTCACAGACTAGAAGGAGACAAGTTCAATGAGATGTGTTAAGTTCTATTGTGGTATTATAGTATTATAAGAATATTGCAAGTATATAATAGAGACAAAAGAGTAGTAGTTGGGTAGTAATTAGCATGACCGTATCATTTATTATCCAAATGTAATCACTTGAAATGGGTGCTCTTAAAAAGGGTGCTGCAACAATAAACGCAAATCAGACTGTCCTGTCATATATGAACACCCTACTGGATAAGGATCAGGTTCGTATAACACATCCTAACCTCAATTAATATTGTAGCTACAAATGTTCAAATGTTCAAACAGCCTAAATCCTGCAGTATTATTTGTACCCTGGAAATCTTTTCACTCATACTTTGTTAAAATAAACTAAAAAAGCAGTAACAGCAAAAAAGAATGAACAAAATGAGCTTATTTTCATTTATAGAAAATCTGTCAGATGTCCAAATTCAAAGTGCCACCATTCACTAACTGCAGACAAAAATTGCCTAGGAGAAAATAGTTTTTTAAGCTTAAACTTATCACATGATACTAAATTTAACACAAATAATGACAAGGAGTGAAAATATAGGTGAGAGAAAATTATGGCTCAAGGCTCAGAAGATCTCAGTCAGGATATCCAGCTTGCTGCCACAAACAACACATAGAGGTATTTAGAAAATGGGCAGAGTGTGTTTTGTGTTTTAAATGATTTGGGCTGGGAGGCTGGTTCTGATGGCTATTAGTAGCAGTCCCAATCAAGGAAGAAATTTTTAGCCCCAAATGCCAATAGTATACCAGTTGAAAAGGTTTTGGGTAATTGAAGGACAAAGAAAGGACAGGCTTTATTGTTCTTTTGTTTTATTTCCTTGAAAATGGAAATAGTGTGGCTTACTGATTAAACAAATTCTCTCAACAGGATTATGAATTTCTCTTTGAAGTTGGTGTTTCCAATGTATTTGGTCCTGGGACTCGAATTCCAAAGGCTGCCGTTGAAGTGCTTGATGATATTGAGAAGTGTTTGGAAAAGAAGCAGCAATCTGTATAATATCCTCTTTTGGTTTTAGCTTTTTTCTAAAATATTAATTATGATCAAAGAAGAGAGTAAAGCTGTGTCTTCAATTTAATTTCAATACCTGATTTGTACTTTCCTTGAAAGCTTTACTTTAAAATACCTTGCTTGTAAGCCTGGTATCATGCTAAAAGTATGTACATACAGTTTCACTTCAAAAATTTTAAAAAAAATTCCTAAAAACTCTCTGCAACAATACTTTATCAAGAACTCTAGACAAAGGTATTATCTTTAAAAATCATGGTGATGTATTTATTAGAATGTTTCTTATAAATCTGTTTACTTTTTATATTAAGAATTAAACTGTACCTAAAAAAACTCTGACCAGTCCCATTTGTCACTTTAGCATTACATTGTCTTGAGCACCAGAAAATAAAATCTATATATTAATAAACACTATCTTGAAAAAATAGCAGAGCGTAATTACATGGGGAAAGAGATTTTGGGTGGAGTCCTCAGCCAAATTCTTCCAGAATCACCTTGATAGAAGAAGTATTAAAATCAAGTACAGCAGGTTGGGATATAGGGAAATTGACAGCATATTTCTTCAACTCTGATTTTACTTTCTTCCTGAGCATGGCCATCTGACCTTGTTATTTCTGGGCTTGGCTCTAGACCCAGGACAGTGGATGTTTATGAGCATTCCTTTAAATGAAAGTGCTTAGGTTGTAGCTATGGCTTTGTCTAGAATGGTGATATCAACTGTGAGTGTAGGTCTATGATACAGAAATATTTTAACTTTCCAGATCTAGAAAGATGCTACCTTGCATAGATTTGCTCATTAAACTTAAATTGCAAAAATAAAAATAGCACAAAGAACACCTTTGCTTTGCTTATTGAAAGATTTGCTCACTAAAGAAGGAAAGTTGTCATTTACCTATGTAACAAATCTGCACATGTTCCCTAGAATGTAAAATAAAAAATAAAAATTTTAAAAATAAGAAGGAAAGTTGTCCTTTATTGTTAACATGATCCATTACATGAATATAAAATGAACAATTATGTTTTGTAATAAATTTCTATTGTATTAGATCAGAGAGCAATCTTTGGGAAAGTATTATAAGATAAATATATTACTATAGAATTTACAAACTCACTATAATACAATGTGTATAGTTTTCAGAATATGATTATCTGAATGATATTGTCATGATTATTGTTGCCATTTTACAGATGAACACTCTGACCTCAAATCCAATAATATATTGACTATGTCATTTTATTGACTTTTTCTTGTAAAGAAATGCACACTAGTAAGTATTTGTTTTCTGTGCTGGGTTCTGTTGTGTGCTGGGTGACATGAAATAAACTCATCCTGAAAGAGTTTACAAGTTCTTGACATTCATATCTGTTGAGTAGATTATTTGGGGAGGAAGAATAGCAGCCACCTGCTACCAGATTTCACATCCATTATGTGTTTATTTTTACCTGAACACAGATAATCTTACTATTTGAAAACCTATTTTCTGAAATAGCCAGTGGCATAAATCATAGAAATTAAATCTAGCCTGACTCTAAGATTAAATTTTCTCATTGTTTTTAAATTCAGAAACTGTTGAAACTTAAACACTTTAGTGTTATTTATATTCCAAAAGATTCCAAAATAAATTTTGTCTTTTATTACTGTCTTTATTTTTGGATGAAACCTTCTATGACCAACAATGAACAGACTTTTGGAAATGATTAGGAAAATAACCAAGTATATTTAAAAAGTGGATAGGTGTCTTATACAGATAACCTATCCCATATTCACCAAATAGTATAAGAAAATAATTAATGAATCAGGAATACAACTACTTTTCTCATTTCCTTTTATTGAATAAAAAAGTGGAAGATTCTAGTGACAATTATAAAGTGCAACCAAAACATACTGCACAGAGCAATTTAACTTACTGACATATGCATTCTTTCACAGGTTGGCACCTCCTCAATTTAATAGTGCCCAATCTTAGTTACAGCTATTTCCTCTTTGATAAGATTAGAATTATGATGCATGGTGCCAGTGAGGGAACTGACAGAGGAAGAAAATTTTGCATTCATAGCCAGTTTGATCTAGATACCTTTGTTTGCTTTGTTTACAGGCTAATGAAGAATCAATAGTTCATCTGTGAGATGAACTATACATACTTGAAAAGAAGAATTAAGGAACTCAGGCATTACCTAAGTTAAACTCATACCAATCAGGGTTCAATCAGAGTAGAGTCAGTAGGAGAAATGTGTGTGTGAATGTGTATGTGTGTGAGTGTGTTTGAGTGTGGTGTGTGTGAGCCAGCTGGAACACCACAGGCATAGTTATACATGTGCCATGGTGGTTTGCTGCACCAATCAACCCATCATCTAGGTTTTTAAAGCCCCGTATGCATTCGGTATTTGTCCTAATGCTGTCCCTCCTCTTCATCCCCACCCCCACCCCCAACAGGCCCTGATGTGTGATGTTCCCCTCCCTCTGTCCAAGTGTTATTGTTCAACTCCCATTTATGAGTGAGAACATGCGATGTTTGGTTTTCTGTTCCTGTGTTAGTTTGCTGAGAATGATGGTGTCCAACTTCATCCATGTCCAAAGAAGGACACGAACTCATTTCTTTTTTAGGGCCACATAGTATTCCATGGTGTATGTGTGCCACATTTTCTTTGTTTAGTGAGCTTTCATCTTATTGTCAGATGGCGAACTCAGGATAATCTCCTTTTTGATTCAAGTCAATTGTTTAGGGACTTTAATTATATAAACAAAATTTCTTTCTGGCATTGTTCAGAGATTAGTGTTTGACCAACTGGGAGAATATATTTGTGTGTGTGCTACAGAATAACTGTCGTTTCTATTCTCTAATTCGCAAAAGAGAGGGAATATCTTATACTTTATGTCTCACCCTAACTGGAAATATACTACAAAGCAAATTTTGGAGACTGTGGTTAATTCTAGCTAAATTGACACATTACTTACCCTCAGTGTAATGGTATTTGGAGGTAGGGTCTTTGGGAGGTAATTAGGTTTGGATGCCATCAGGAGGATAGAAGCCTTATGATAGAATTAGTGCCCTTGTAAGAGGAGACAAGAGAGTTTGCTCTCCTTTTCCTGGTGGGTGAGGATGCAGTAAGAAGGCAGCCGTCTTCAAGAGAATCCTCACCAAGAGCTGAATTGGTTAGCGTCGCAATCTTCCACTTCCCAGCCTCCAGAAATGCCTATTCTGGAAAAACAGAAATAAGTACCTGTTGTTTAAGCCCTCCAGTCATTGGTATTTTGTTTTGACACTCCAAGTAAACGAAGACACAGATGTTCATAGCACATGGCAACATTACTCATAATAGCCAAAAGGTAGAAATAACCCAAGTCCATGATAAACAAAATGTGGTATATAATTACAATGAATATATACCTTCCTTGTCAGCCTTAACAAGGAAGAAAATTTGACACATGCTACAATACACATATGGGTCATTGAAGGCATTTTGGTAAATAAAATGAGCCAGTTTAAAAAAAAAAAGTACTGTATGATTTCAATTGTATGAGGTTTCTATAGTAGTCAGATTCACAGAGAAAGAAGTAGAATAGTGGTCACCTGGAGATGGAAGGGAAGGGGAGAATGGGAAGTTATTTTTATTTTTTATTTTATTTTTTGAGACAGAGTTTTACTCTTGTTGCCCAGGCTAGAGTGCAATTGCACGATCTCAGCCCACTGCAACCTCTGCCTTCTGGTTTCAAGCGATTCTCCTGCCTCGGCCTCCAGAGGAGCTGGAATTACAGGCATGCCCCACCATGCCTGGCTAATTTTGTATTTTTAGTAGAGACGGGGTTTCTCCATGTAGGTCAGGCTGGTCTCGGACTCCTGACCTGAGGTGATGCGCCCACCTCGGCCTCCCACAGTGCTGGGATTACAGGCATGAGCCATGGTGCCCGGTCATGGGAAGTTATTCTTTAGTGGCTACAGAGTTTCAGTTTTGCAAGATAACAAGCGTTCTGGAAATGAATGTCAGTGATGGTTGCAGGACAATGTGAATGCTCTTAAGTCCACAGAACTCTACACTGAAATATGGTTAATATGATCAATTTTATGTTATATATAATCACAATAAAAACAATATATTTAGGACAATGGTTAGCATATAGTATAGGCTTTGTATTCATTATTATTGTATTATTATTCCTATTATTATTTTTATAGAAATAAATGAACGTTAAGGCATGAAACCAAGAAGGTAGGAGGAGAACGATTATTTAGAGGCTTATGATGTTAAGAAATTTGGATTGTTATCCTGAAGATTATAAAGAGCCATACAAGAGATTTAACAAAGAAATAATCCAAGATTGTTTCAACACAGCAGACAGAAGATGCCTTTTTATGGGGGCAATGCTGGAAATACGAATTAAAAGGCTATTATAGTGATAGACTAGATAATTCAAATTATCTAATCTTATTTGCTTAGGTGCGGCTCAGAGATGTCAGAGATGGAGAGGATACAATTTTATTTTGGAAGATTGGCTTGACAGAAACTAGATTTTTATCCTTTTTTAAAAAGTCTCTAGATCCTTAGGTATTTGCTGTGTGGAATCTGCTGTCACCTCACCCATGTTGGTTGCTTTCTGTGGACCTCTTTCGATGAGTTGTGATTCATGACTGAAAACACTGGTATAATGTCAAAATCAGGAAAAAGTAAAATTATGGGAATTTTTTCTCAGTGATAACTTTTATCAATACTGGAGTTTTCTAAGCTTTTCTGGCATTAGAAGAGCATCAGAATGATGTATTTAGGGGATACTGAAGATACCAAAATTCTCTTCCTGCAACTTAATGAAAATTTAAGTATTCTATAAATATTTTAGTACAGGAAGTGAAGGAGAGCTTTGGGGGTGTGTCCTCTCTGAGCAAAACCTGCATTGAACTGGAGATTTAAATTAAAGTAACAGAAAACAACAACAAAGAATTTGGATGATTACTTCTTCCATTTTCATCTCATGAAGTGGGAATTCATATAAGGGGGGGTGGGAGGTGAGGGGAGAAGATTTTAAATAGTTCTACATCTATCTATTTGCTAACAAAATTATACCAAATGTCACTGCCACCCTCCATTCACATCCTTAAACTCCCCTGCACTTCATACTAGTCAAAAACCTATTCTTAAAAAGGAATCTGGGCTGGGCGCGGTGGCTCATGCCTATAATCCCAGCACTTTAGGAGGCCGAGCCGGGTGGATCACGAGGTCAAGAGATCGAGACCATCTTGGTCAGCAAGGTGAAATCCCGTCTTTACTAAAAATACAAAAATTAGCCGGGCATGGTGGTGCACACCTGTAGTCCCAGCTACTCGGGAGGCTGAGGCAGGAGAATTGCTTGAACCCAGGAGACGGAGGTTGCGGTGAGCCAAGATTGTGCCATTGCACTCCAGCCTGGGTAACAACAGTGAAACACCGTCTCAAAAAAAAAAAAAAAAAAAAAAAAAAAGAATCTAATAAAACCATGTATGTTTATGGCAAAAATATCTATTAATGCAGAATGTGTTTATTCTACCAGAAATATTTTTATTTTAGCTGAAGAAAAAACTTACCAAAGTGATTAATATCTAAATATACTTGTTGCTTCTTGCTACTCAGTAAAAATAATAATAAATATGATGATGATGATGACAATGACAATGATGACAAGTAATGTTATTTCTACCAATAAGTAAAGCTTAACTCACCTCCAAAGAACTATGGGTCACCTTTTAGGCCATTAGATGAAGTTTGATTTTAGAAGTAGCCTAAAGTTGAGAGATAAAATGGAAAACCATATACTTCTATTAAGATATCCTTGTATATGCTGTGCTTATCATTATGAAAAATGCTCTTAGCATTCAAAAATATTTGCAAGGAAAAACATTTTTGGTTTTCCTAATTAAACATAATGCTGTTGTTTTCCAGTTCTTATATCCTCATTTTATTATTTTTTTTCGACTGTACCTGTAGGTGTCTCCCTAAGTTCAGGATTATTCTATTTTCCTGACACTGTATTTCAAATGATACCCATCCAAAAAACCCTTAAGTGCTATAAACACGCTGAGAAAAAGCGTGTGTGTTTAATGATTTACTTAGATGCTCCTAAGGTCACCCTTTGTGATTGTGATCTGTGGCCAATAAAACTAAACGTTGATCATTGTTTATGAACTGTGCTGCATGTCATGCTAAATTGATTAGGTCATTAGCACTGAAAATAGAATAATATGAGATTAATATTGAATTATATTCTATGAATCCATCCCCAACTCACATAGACTCATGTTTAAGTTATTAATTCTTCACAACCTGTTTCCTCCATTTACATTCAAACCTCTTATTGTTATACT